ACCTCCACGCTTCTGCAGCGCAGGCTCCAGGTCCCTGGGAGATGAGCTCCCGAGCTTGTGGCATTTGGGAGACACAGACCTGTTTGCAGAACACTTTGCTCTGGGGCGTGCGTGTGTGCTTTCTTTAGGGGAAGATCTGGTTTCTGACCCTGAGGTGGGCTTTCCCACTTCTTTTGGTGACTTTCACAGCACCCGCCCTTCCCCTCTGCTCAGCCCAGCTCCCAAAGAGGTCGGGCTCCTCTTTGCTTCCCTCCCTCCCTTTTCTTCTTTTTCTGTTGTTCTCACCTTCACTTTGGATGCAGTCCCGTGCAGGCAGCAGCCCATCAAGGCCGTGCCCTGCTCCAGGCACCTGGTTTAGTGTTGAGAACACAGTGGGGGCAGAAAGGATGGGATCCCCCCCCCCCCAATTCTCCTGGGGGCTTTCCCTCCGGAACATCGGTATTGCCCAGGGTGACGCAGGATTCCTGGGAGGCCGGCAGCCAGGAGGCTCTCGGCAGGAGCAACAGGAACGAGCACGAAACTCTGCTCGCCTTTCCCAGCCAAGCTCTATCCGCTTCTCACGGGAACTGTGGGATTTTGGTGGTGGTAGTAGTATTAAGAAAAAACATCAGGTCGTTCAAACAGAGAAGAAGAAAACAGAAAGTAAAGTCCACAGTTGATCCTTGTTGAATTTTTAAAAAAGTTAATTTGCATACATGATTAGAAATTTCAAACCAAACGGAGAAGTATAGAAATGAAAAGATACAAGTGCACTTGTGCAGGCGTACACACACAGCACCACCCGCCTTCTTTCTTTCCCCAAAGATGAAATGTTAATATGCTCTTATGCGGCTTTCCCGGAAAAGTTGTTTCCATCGTCACGTGTAGCCTTTGCAAAGCTTTGCCTGAGAGGGAGTGGCTGTGTTCCCTGTTCATGCTTTGTCATCCTGGGGCAGTTTCTGCATCAGTATATCTAGGTATAAAAAGACCTCAGTCTTTTTAACATCTACGTGGATTCCCGCTTTGCGGACAGACCATAATTACCTAACCAGTCCCCTATTGATGGACATTTAGGTTATTTCCAGCTGTTTCCTGGGTAGGTTGCATTTTAAAGGTTGAAATTTCCCCGGTAAGCCTGCCATCCCCCCGCTTCTCCGACACCTGATCATCGAGAAAAGCAGATCCCTTTGGAAAGTTCTCAAATTCATTTTCACCGTGATGTTTTTTTTGATGTAGGCAGGGAGAGGAAGGTAACTGCCATATGTTGGATGCTTGCTGTGTCACCACACTCTGAAGGCACTTTATGTCCATGATTCTGCTTAGTTCTAGAAGGCCAGAATCCCTTGCCCCACGTTTTAGACGAGGAACCTGAAGCTCAGAGAGGCCCCACAGCTCATGTAGGGTTCAGCTAGGGTTCCCACTGTTCTGACCAGCCCTGGACCTTGTGCCCTCTTTCACTTCCCTTAGTTCTGCCGGTTGTTCCGTACAGCTGAGTCCTTACAGAGCTCAGGGAGAGGTTTCTACATCCATCCGTGTGAATTTCTGCTCATAACTTCCAACTGGGTGACGTTTTGTTCTGTTTGGTGTTGGTTTTCTCTTTCTGAAAGCTTCGATTGCATATGGCATGCTCTAAAATTCACTGGGAGTAAGTGGTGATCAGAGGAAGCGGTCGCTGCTTCTTGGGGCCCTAACTTACTGGGGCCGAGTCCTTCAGGAGATGGTGAGGGAGGCATCCGGGACTGCGTTTGATCACACAGCATCCTAAGTGGGCTCTGATGGATGCTGTCTGTCGAGCCGTGCACGCTGGGAATGCGCCCATCTCTGGGCTCTTGGTCGTTGGCGTCTGTAATGCACTATCTGGGTTTCCTGGACAGTAGAATCATGTCTCAATTTATCTGTCATTTTTGTGGATGAATAATCCAAAGTGGGTAAATAAAAATTAATGTTTAGATTTGGATGCTAATTTAGCTTTCAATTAGGTTTTGTTTTGAGCGTTATTTAAATTAATCTGTGTTCTTTGAGCACATTCTGCTTATTGTCCAGGTACAGTGGCCCCAAGAATACAGTTGGTGGTTGTTTCGGGTAAATTCAGAACATGGATAAATCAGATCAAGATAATGGAAAAGTTTACTTTAAAAGTGTTTGCTTTTTCTGATGACAAAATGATGTCTGAACATCATCCAGACCCTGGAAAGAGAACAACACTTCAGTCGGAGTCCTGTCCCAAACAAATCAGACAGTTTTCTTTTGTCTTTGCTCCTTTCTAACCTGGCCCATGGCATGTAAATACTTTCTAAAGAGTGCTAAATATGGAACTGAATTTGGGCGACTGGTGAAACCCTATTATTTTAGGAAGATCTTGAGCTATGGGCGAGCTTCCATTTAAATTCTAACTCTGCAGCTCAGCAGCTGTGTGACACTGGGCAAGTCACTTAGCCCTTCTCCGCCTCTATTTTCTCATCTGTAAAATGGGACTGATAATCCCTGTGTCTCGTGGTTGTTATAAGGACTGATGCAGCCATGTCTTCCACAATACGGGACATGAACCACGGGTGGCATGCCCCTTTTCACTTCTTAGAAGTCCTCTGACTTGTTCTGGGATAAACTTCTTCCTCTACGGCAAGCTGATCTTTAACTCATCACTGATACTTGCCAGGCTCCCCTTCTAGAGAGATCCAGCACTTGGCCACATCCAATACACCATGCTTTTTCTTTTCTGTTATTTATTTTTATCATAGCAAGGTATACTGGTGTTTTATTTCCTGTAGTGATATGCAGTTTCTTTTAAAATAAATTTATTTCAGCTAAATGAGAAGTTACTAAGAACATCAGTGTGCTGTAGTTAAGACATAAACTGTGCAGATAGTGTATAGGTTTGAATCCCCACTCTGCTGCCTCCTGGCTGTGTGACCTTGGGCAGGACACTTAAAGTCTCTGACCCTCAGTTTCCTTGTTTGTAAAATGAGGATAACAACAGTACCATCTGGTGGGGTTGTTGTAGAGTTTACGTGAGATAATATAGTCAGAGCCCTTAGAGTAGCATCTGGCACACTCGGAGTACAGGCACACCTCGGCGATATTGCGGGTTCAGTTCCAGACCCCCGTGATAAAGCGAATATCGCAGTAAAGCGAGACACACAAATTGTTTTGGTTCCCAGTGTATATAAAAGTTAAGTTTACACTATACTGTAGTCTATTAAGTATGCAATAGCATTATGTCTAAGACAACAATGTACATACCTTAATTAAAAAATACTTTATTGGGCCTGGCCTGGTGGTGTAGTGGTTAAGTTCATGCACTCTGCTTTGGCATCCCAGGGTTCATGGGTTCAGATCCCATGCATGGACCTAGCACTGCTTGTCAAGCCGTGCTGTGGTGGCGTCCCACATAAAATAGAGGAAGATTGGCACAGATGTTAGCTCAGGGACAATCTTCCTCCCCCACCCCCACCCCAAAAAAATACTTTATTGGTAAAAAGTGCTGACCATCTGAGCCTTCAGCGAGTTAGAATCCTTTTGCTGGTGGAAGGTCTTGCCTCGGTGTTGGTGGCTGCTCACTCCTCAGGGTGGTGGTTGCTGAAGGGGGGGGCGGCTGTGGCAGTTTCTTAGAATAAGACAACAATGAAGTTTGCCGCACCAGCCGACTCTTCTTTTCACAAATGATTTCTCTGTAGCATGCGATGGTGTTTGAGAGCATTTTACCCACAGGAGAACTTCTTTCAAAATCGGAGTCAGTCCTCTGGAACCCTGCGTCTGCTTTAGCAGCTAAGTTTATGTCCCATTCTAAATTCTTCATTGTCATTTCAACAGTCTTCTCAGCATCTTCACCAGGAGTAGTTTCCATCTCAAGAAACCGCGTTCTTTGCTCATCCTTAAGCAGTAACTCCTTGTCCATTAAGGTTTTTGTCATGGGATTATAGTAGTTCAGTCACGTCTTCAGGCTCTACTTCTCAGGCTTCACAGACCTGGAGAGAGTCAGGGCCTTGCTCTGGACCAGGCTTTGGCTTAAGGGGATGCTGTGGTTGTTTTGATCTTCCATCCAGAGCACTAAAACTGTCTCCATATCAGCAGTAAGGCTGTTTTTCTTATCCTTCATGTGTTCACTCAAGTAGCACTTTTAATTTCCTTCAAGAACTTTTCCTTTGCGTTCACAGCTTGGGTAACTGGCGCAAGAGGCCTAACTTTCAGCCTGTCTTGGCCTTTGACGTGCCTTCCTCACTGAGCTTAATCATTTGTAGCTTCTGATGTGAAGTGAGAGGCATGTGCTCTTCCTTTCACTTGAACACTTGGAGGCCACTGGAGGCTTATTAATGGGCCTAATTTCGATAGTATTGTGTCTCAGGGACTCGGGAGCCCGGAGGAGAGGGAGAGAGACGGGGGAACGGCCAGGTAGGGGAGCAGTCAGAACACACACGTTAATCACCTGTTTGCTGTCTTACATGAGTGCGGTTCGTGGCGCCCCAAAGCAATTACAATGGTAACATCAAAGATCACAGATCACCATAAAAAACAGAATAATAATGAAAAGTTTGAAGTATTGCGAGAATTACCAAAATGTGACACAGAGACACGAAGTAAGCAAATGCTATTGGAAAAATGGTGCCAGTCGACTTGCTGGATGCAGGGTTGCCACAAACCTTCAATTTGTAAAAACCGCAGTATCTGTGAAGCGCAGTAAAGCAGAGCGTAGTAAAATGAGGTATGCTTGTACCATAAAGTGTTAACCGGGAATGTTTTTCTTGTGCAAATGACTGATCCCTGGGAGGCGCAGAGCTGGTGTAGGTCAGTAGGTCAAGTGCAGAGTTTCTGACCAGGATGGTGGGCGATAAATGGTAGCTGGTGCTATTGTTTTGGTTATTTAATAATGATGATGTTGATAATAGTCATAATAATCAACTAGGAGGTAGCGTTTGTTGTTCTGGAAATTAATGTCCTGGGGGAGAAAGTCTCAGGCAGCTTGCTAGGATCCAGTGAGATCCCAGGGTTCAATTCCATCTTTTGTCTTGGTTCCACTTGTCTAGGCCAAGCCCAGCATTCGGTGCTTCATTAAACCCACCGAGACGCTGGAGCGGTCCCTTGAGATGAACAAGCACAAGGGCAAGAGGCGAGTGCAAAAGAGACCCAACTACAAAAACGTTGGGGAGGAAGAAGATGAGGAGAAAGGGCCCGCCGAGGATGCCCAAGAAGACGCCGAGAAGGCTAAAGGTACAGAGGGTGGTTCAAAAGGCATCAAGACGAGTGGGGAGAGCGAAGGTGAGTGCGCCTGCGAACGCTGCCCTGCCGCCCGCGCTGCGAGCCAGGCTGTCACTTGTGTCTGGTCCCCCTTGTGTGTCAGCGGGTGCTTCTGTTCATCACCGACACCAGTGTACCTAATTCTATACAACCAGCCATTCAGAGGCAGCCATGGCAGATGGGTGCAAGACCCACCCTCATTGGATGGGTGACCTGGAGCAAGGTTCTTTACTCTTAATCCCATGCCTCAGTTTCCCCATCTGTAAAAAGAGGGTAACGAATAGTATCTACTTTGTTATTATAAGAATTAAATGGATAAATACACGTAACGTGCTCAGAACAGTGCCTGGCCTATGTGATAAGTGTTTCCTGCTGCTACTGTCACACCTAGTGTTATTACCATCATCTTTATCGTTACTGCTGCTCTTATTATTGCTTATAACCTGGAATTACGATTTTTGACAGAAGTCATTATTTCCAGGGCACTGAAGGAAGAAAACGGGCCCCTGTTTAATGAAATTATGTGCTTTTAATAAGATAACTTTTGTGGGATTCAGTTAATCAGATGTGATCCTCCAGGTTCTCACATTAAGATTTTTAAAGTCCCGTCTGCCTAGAGTGAGGTACACTTGTGTTTGGTGCATACGTGCTGAGTAAGCAGAATCGTTCAGCCCTCTTTTTGCCCTTGTTGGAATGATTCTGGTTTGTTCTTTACTTCCCTCTTATTTAGATGCTAAAACCTTCTCGATCTGGAGAGCATTGACTGCTCTGAGACTAAGTATGCTTGAACTGTGCAGTTCCTTGTGTCATGGGCGGGCTCCCAGCCACACAGATGGGGTGTCTGGCTGCAGCCCCGGGCACTGAGAGTGGGGGAAGTGATGGGGTGGAAATGGGGCAGGGGCTGTGCTTGCTGGAGGTGAGCTCTCACCACCCCTCCTGGGACAGGCACCGGCTCTCAGTGCCTGCCTGTGGTCTGCTGGGGGTGTGGGGGCACTTCCTGTCAGCGTCCTCTGGGCCCTGGGCTGCAGCAGCCACTCCAGAGCCGGGCCCATCCGCTGGGACTGTGTGAGTCCCCCAGTCCACGGCGTCTGGAGCTGGAGAACAGAGCAGCTCAGTAAATCAGTGACTGGCAACTCATTTGTGTTTGGGAATTTGCCACATTTCTGCAGCCAAAACCGGGCCCCGGCCCCACCCCGCTGGCCCATTCTGATTGTCTTGGCCGTTCCCAGGGAATGCCACGATCGCAGTCTGATCAGCGTAACCACAGCGTCTCTTGGGTGCCGCCCATCTCTCTTTTTAAGGCAGAGTCTCCAGCATGCTTTTATTTCTGTTCAAAGTGTGTAGCAAGTGTTGGGGTAGGAACTCTGTTTGGGCTTGGGCAACTTGCGCCAGCGTCTGTCACTTTGGGGGGAGGGGAGGGGCAAGCACAAGGTAAGCCACCCTTGTTTGCTGATTTGGATTGTTCTTTGGTTTTTTTAACTTGGAAGAAAGTTGTCTGCTTAAACCCTAGGTTTAGCTGTGCTGTAGCCACACTGGGGGATAAATGGACAACTTTACCCCATTTTGTACACTGTGTTCTCCTCAATTTTGTTTTGGAAAGATGCTACCTCTTTCATTCCAGTCCTTTTAAGGGCTGCTCTCTCATCACGCCTGGGCCCGTGACTAACCGTGGTGTGGACACAGGGCAGGCTGGGCCTCAAACACACAATCACATGAGTCAGCTGGGCGGCCCAGTCCTGGCGCACGGGGGCTTCAGTGGCTCGGCAAGCCTGCCATTCCAGCGGCCTGTTGGGGTTGGGTAAGGACCCCGTGCACACTGAGCCCACCAGCCCTGTGCAGGGGGCAAGGAGAGAACTATTCACCAGCCTCTGAAAACATGTTTTCCAGGTGGTTACTCAGCCAGCTTGTGCCAGACAGGGCCCTGGAATTTCCCGGAGGCCTGGCTTGGACAGTTGACGCTGACTTCAGAGCTCAGTCAAGCGTGGCTCTCAACGACCCCCTCGGCGTTTCGGTGCTCTCCTATTTTCTCAAACTCGTATTAGTCATTCCAAAATCTGATGGGCCTGTTGTCTTCGCACCCAGCTCGCCATAAATAGATACAACTTTCACAGGCCCGTCCAGCAGAAAGACACCTGACCAGGCAGCAGCAGGTGTATTCTGGAGCTTGTTGAGTTGTATCTTTGATCTCTTAGTTAGTCTCATGTTAGGAGGTGCGGCTGGTGGATGTTCTCTCCTTCGATTGTATCTGTGTTTGAGTGAAACCGCACAGCTGTTAATTCCTGTGACTTGGAAGGGTGTCAGGCATATTTTCTCATTCAGTTTCCAGCTGGAGGACAGTGTAGATGGGGGAGGTGCCTTGGAGCTGGGAGACTGACTTGCAGTCCTGTCCCAACATCTAGGTTTATTGTGGGCCTTGATGGTCTTCGTAAGCTCTGGACCTCATTTTTCCCATCTGAAAGTGATGAATGTAGAAAATATCATTCACATGATGACTTTTTTCTTAATGAGTATTTGTTAGGATCCTTGCATTTACAAGATTTAGAGATTCTACTCAGACTGGCTTAAGCAAAAAGGGTGATTATTGTTCACGTAACTGGGAGGCTTGGTCAGGGCTGGACCCAGGTGCAGAGATGACCTTTGGCAGCGCCAGGCTTGCTTCCTGCCAACTTAGCCACCAAGTAGAGAGGGAGCTGTTCCTTCCCGCTGGCTGCAGCAGAAGTCTGGGGGCCGTGCCGGTTGGTGCTGACAGGCCTGGCTTGTCCACCTGTAGAGGGATGTTCTGTGCCGATTGGCCAGGCCTGGGTCCTATGTCTTCACTCCCGTGACTCCCTCAGTCAACAGTGAGGTGCGCGCAGCAGAAGAAGGGCTCGTGGATGCTGGGCCAGCGGAAACAGCAGCTGCTCCCCTTGGAAGCCACACTGTTTCTGTGGACTCCTCATCCCCCTCAGGGCTTCTTCTCCCTTCCTGTTTTCAGGTGAATATGTGGCTATTTTCTCCTTGAAAATTATTTCTTTTTGGGCAAGCTTTTTGCATTGTCCCTGGATCTAGGGGCTTGTTGACAGCCTGGCTATAACAGACAGGCACAGGTGACTGTTGACTAAAGAGATGCTGGCAGCAGGTCCCCCCTGCGTACCCTGCCATCCCTATCTTAGTGGTGAAATCTTTACCTGACAAGGTGCTATAAAGCACAGGAGTGAAAAGGCATGTGGTCACAAGTCACAGTTTTGCCCTGACCTGACTTAAATGTGGCATCAACATGTTTTTCCTACAAGTGCAACACCCAGAATTCACAGCTCCTCCATGTGTAAGCCCCAACAAGGAAGTTGTGGGAAATGAGTGTGCACCCCGGGACCCTCCACTCCCATCCCCAGTTTGCAAAGAAATTGCTCTGCCTCAGGTCCCGAGTGATGGGCAACTCATTCTGAAACCAAGAAAATCACAGGGCCCTTAAGTCTGCAGAAATTGAATGCTAAGGAGAGGAAGAGGGCTGCCCCCGGCCCCATGGCCGAAGGAGTCTTCACTCGGATGCCCGTCCCTGTCGTAGCTCGCTCTGCAGCCTGAAAGGACTGTCTTCTCTTTTTGGATTCGCTTAGAGCACTGGCTTAATAAACAGACCTGAGACCAAAGAACAAATGTTTTGAACTTCTTGTTTGAAAACTAGAGTTGGGCTTTTGTTTTTCGCCTATGGAAAAAGAGAGTGTCCGTTCCACGGCCTGGCCCTCAAAGCCTGCTCTTTCCTGGAATCCCAGCAAGGGCACGGCGTGAAGGCCACAGCACTGACTTTGAACTTACCAGGGCAGCTGGGGGCTGGGGTGCCTGGGAGTCTGGAGCCCCAGCTTGGCCTTCTTTTGAAGTCTGCTGAAATGAAATAGAACCCTGGCCTCATTTCTGGCTCCTCCTGCAAAGCCAGAGGCAACCCCAGGCCCAGCAGTTTCCTGATTGGGATGAGCCAGGGACTGCCTATTGAGGGGTCCAAGTCTGAGTCTCAGACGCCTGAAAGGCTGCCCCTGAGCAGCTCTGTGACCCTGGGCAGGTCATTGCTTCTCCACTGGTAGAGGGGGCTTCATGATGCCCAGCCCTCAGGTCGTCAGAAATGAGAGCATCAGTGCCTCAGCATTTGGTGCTTGACGCAGGAGCCCTGAGTGGGAACCCTGGCCAAGAAGGAGAGCAGAGTGAGGAGCTCGAAGAGAAGGGGCGTGTGTCCTTGGTTGAGGGGACTCTGTGCTGGGGCACCTGGCGAGTTTCTGTTGGGCCTGTTTCTCTGCTAATTTCTATAATGAATACATGAGGTGGGTGAGCGCGTGCAAGCATGTGTGTGTTTGAGAGTGAGTGAGACAGCAGGATGGGAGAGAGGAGAAGGATGGGTAGGCTGGCCCACCGTTGTAGAGACATGTGGGAGTGCCAGCTTTCCAAATGGCCTTAACTGGGATAAAGGGAAGGATCGTAGGTGAGTTTAGACAAGTCCTCTGAAAAGCAACTTCCCAGAAAAACATTCTGAATTCAGTCTCGTGCTATTCAGTAAAAGATAACAGAAAACAAGGGAGGAGGTACCCCAAATACTCAGCACATACACACCCTGTGGTTGCCAGGTGCTGTTTGCCCCTTGCAATGCTGCTCCAAAGCCACCAGGAGCCTGCAGTCCTTCCTTTGTGTCCTGGGTTAGCAGCAAGGGCGTCTTTCTCCTCCTTCCCTAACCTTCTTTTCACGGCCTTCTTATGCTCCCTTCCCCTCTCTTGATTGTCTGTCCTCGCTGTGATTGCTGGAATGTAGAACACAGAGGGCAACTGGAAAAATTCTTGCATCTGTGAAGTCGAAGACTGTCAGGAGGTCATGCCTGCCATTTCCCCGAAAAGCACTTCATTTACCAAATGTTAATCAGATTAGATTGTACATCATCTGGGCAAGTTGATGAATTATTGGTGTTATTTAAAAGATCAGAGTGTCAGAGTATCGGGGAAGTGCATGGGTTTGGCCAGAGTTGTCATATTGAGAGGTGAAAGTTGACGTCCTTGGGTCCTGAG